AATCTCAGTAAAAGAGCCCCAAATGGACCCCTGAGAGATGAATTTAATCTTGCCCATTTCGTCGCAGACGACCTCAGACGACCTAGGAAATTCCTGTCTTTGCTTATCGTCTACAACTCCGGCCCTGCCTTCGCCATTTCATGCCTGGTTAGTCTGCTGGTGGGCGTGCTGCGAATTTATAGACTGATCCCAGACGAGACGTGGACAGTGTTTCTGGGATTTCTTTAGGGAAGTTCTGCTTCTCTGAAACCAATCAGAAGTAGCTTTGAAATCTTTTCTTGGTCAGGGTTCCAACAAGTCCAACAAGTCAATAGGTCCGCAGTCTACGTGGCCTACCTTGTGATCTTCCTGTTCTGGCAGCGCCTGCGTGCTTTGTTCTGTGCTCCCCGCATGGTCTTCATGGATAAGCTATGCGTTGCACAGCACGACGAAGAGCCCCTGGATTGCATTCTCAGTCAATGGAGTTCTAGGGCTTGCGCTTCAGATTCTCAGAGTTTGATTGTTTTGATGAATGCGTTGGCTGTGTAGAGCCATTGATGGCTGGAGCACTTCACGTTTGACTGACGCTCGTTCCGGCACTGGGAGAATGTGGCGCAGCAAGGTTTTCTCGCCAGGTCACCACAATACAGTGTTTCGCTGTGCTTGCGAGTTTGGCAAGACTGGGCCAGCCTTGTGATTGATGCTAGTTGCACTTTTCATTGTTCTCTCCAAAATGTACCTGCTGCTGCGAAAGCCCACCACAAATCTGCCCACTGTTACGTTCTTGCTCCTTATGATGTCCAACAACAATAAAATCCCAAAACAGTCAGATTGGCCCGCCCTCTGTAAGACACCCAAAGCCAAACGCCAAGTCCGTACTGTAAGACTTGGACCCTTGTTCTCAACCCTCAGCTGAGGTTGAAGCAAGAGGGCATTGAGGGTCTGGCGGCGTTCCTCAATTGCTCAAGACAGTTGGTGGTCTTGTTAAGCCCCCGCTATCTGTCTCGACTTTGGTGCGTATTTGAAATCTCGACGTTCCTGCAAGATCGGGCCTCGATAAACAAAATCCAGATCATGCCGCTCAAGACGGCCCTTCTGCTGTTGATGGTGGCTAGCTGCTGGCATCTGTTGGCCAGTTACTACTTTAGCTTGATCAGGAATCAGGTCACGGGCCAGCATTGGAGAGGAGCGGAAAGCGGGCTCACTTTCACATTCGCAATGCTCAGCTTCTGCTCTGTGATCGTTCCGCTGTCCTTCTATGTCGGCATAGGGCATCCGGGCTTTGTTTGCAAAGTATGTTGCTTTCGCAGAGCCAAGTATGTGTGTATGTGTATAAATATATACATATACATGTATTTATTTGTTTGTATCTATCTATTTGCTTGTTTTTGTTTATCCATATGGGGCACCACCCTCCCAGGGACATACGTTTTTACAGCTTCAGGTGTATTCCGTAGACATTGTGGTCCAAAAGTTCTAAATTTCCACGAGTTCCACAAATTCCAATCAAAACTGGAGAAAATATGTTTTGAGGTCTGGGAAATTCCAAACTCCAACAATTCCAGATTCCAGAAGTTCCAATTTACCCCATGTTTGGGATTTCAGGAAGTCCTGAGGCCCGGGACTCAGTTCCTTCAGCTCAGAAGTTCCGTGAAGATGTGGAATTTTCGGAACTGTGAGATGTTTTGGGAAATTTTTGCATGTTTACACGTTTTGTTTAGCCCGAGCAGTTGTTTCTTCCCTTCTGACTTGCAGGTTCTTGGTAGGGAATACGGCAATATATACTCCGCAGATGAGATATCCCCTTTTTCCCTGCTAACAACTGTTGAAATTTAAGTTTTGTGTTTTTTGGCATTTGTGATTCCTAAAGCCCAGGACTCAGTTCCTAACTGTTGTAATTTCTTTTCAATTTTTTGAGTTCAGGATTTTGATTATGGTGCGCTCGGTAGAACCTGGAAGTGCGGAGTGGAGTATAGAGTAAGTCAGTTCCAGGAGTTTTTTAAGTGACACAGAAACCCTGATTGGGGATGTTCGGACCGCTGGATGTTCGGGATGTTTTGGAGTTCGCAAAGCGCTTCTTGGGATTTGGAAATGGCTGCGGGAACAAATTCTTAGAAACTTGGGCTTTGTGAATTCCAACGCTTGGACCATGTCTGTGGAGCAGGTTCAAACCAATAAAACCCCAGTAGAACCTTGATCGAGCTCAGCTACTCATTCGGATGGCTTAGTCAAGTAGACTTTGAAGTCAAACTCGTCATTTACTTTGACCACATGCAGCTTGCTCTTATAATGATCGGAGAAATTTGATTGGGAAGTCAAGGCAGTATTGGAATCAATGTCAAAAAGCTCTTGGTTTACCATCTTTCGTGCTAGGAGTCAATGTGCGGATTCGAGAACCACAGTTTATCAAAATTCCTCACTCCATGCCACGATGACACCTCCCCGCCCCTCATTTTAAACATGCCGCCCACATATATATATATATATGTATATGGTCACCCCCCCCCCCATTACACGCGCCAGGCTCTTTTCACAGCATTTTTCTACAAATATTGCAAATGTCATCAGGTTTTTCATTATGTTTAATAAAGGTTCTCTGCTTTTTCACTACAAAAACTAACGCATTTACACATTTTTGCATATGTTCGATTCTATGTTTCATATTATTCTTTGGGACCGAAAATACAAAAATCAAAAACAAATCCAGGATTTTCAGATAGATACGAAACTAATTTTTGGATTTCTGGATCTCTGGATTTTGGATTTCTGTGTTTCTTGGGCTTTGGATTTTTGGATTTGTGATTTTTTGATTTTTGGATTTTGGCCAGAACATATTTGTATTGCCTATTTACTAAAATACTTCTTTATGCCTATATATGTCTATCCCGTACGAATTAGAAAAGGCAGTCATTTAGATTCGTACTGTATTAGATAGACAGTACAAATTCGTACTGGCCAAAATCAAAAAATCCGGAAATCCCAAATCCAAGTATCCATGAATCAAAAGATCCAAAATCCAGAAATTCAAAATCCAGAAATCCAGACATCCAAAATCCAGAAATCCACAATCCAGAAATCCAAAAATCCAAAAAGTAGTTTGAAAACTATCTGAAAATCTTGGATTGTTGGATTTTGGACTGTCGCAATCCAATGTTCAACTATTTCCATACACATGTACACAAGTTTCTCAGAATTTGGCCTCTAGCTTCTTCCTATGAGCATCTATATCTTGGTTTCCCAGCATTTGTTTCTAGCCTGTCCTCTGTGCATCTATATATTAGTTTACCAGGATTTACCTGTAAATACTTCTAACTTCTCTATATATGTACCCAAATATTGGTTTCCCAGCATTTCCTTCTGTATACATCTATGTATTCGTTTTATGGCGCTTGCCTCTAGCTTCTTTCTATATGCATCTGCATATTAGTTTCCCAACAGTTGCCTCTAGCTTATATATACATCTAATATTAGTTTTTCGGCTTTTGCCTGTAGCCTACAGGTTAGGCCCCATGCACTAATAGTGATATACTATTAGTATATAGAAGCCCTAATATAGTTACCATTATCTCTTGTGTTCACTATTAGTGGGTGGGGGCCCAACCTAGACAAATAAAATTCAAAGCCTAAAACAGCCAACAGCCAACGCACTTGGCTACCGGTAGAACCAAACATCTGCTCCCACGAACGGAACGGCTGTCTCTTCCACAATAAAGATACAAGAGAGTTACCATTGAGAGAAGTGGACGCTCCACTTCCTTGCAGGTGTTTCCGTTGATCCTTCTAATCCTACAGAAATTCAACAGAATGAGTTGGAGCTTGAGGTCTATCCTTCTTTGGAGAGGGCTTTGTGCTCTTAGTTAAGACACACCGGCTTTATACATAAATTACACCAAGAAGCCTAGCATATCGTTCACATATTACGTTTGGGGAGGCGGGGGGGCATGGGGGCGCGGACTCTTGGCCTGATGGACCTCACTTTTAAAACTTGCCGCCACTCCCCAATCCTCGTCTCCCTCCCCCAAGTGAATGATCACAGAAATATCTTCAAACACAGGAGTGTTTATAAACACAACACGTTTAAAAAGATTGTGACGGTATGCCACATCCACACGATTACATTTATGAAGATTATGAAGATACAGCACATCCAATTTCTGCAAAAGTTTTCCTACGGGTCTTCCTGTACCCATACTTCGGCAAGTCGGTAGAAGTAGATGTACAGTTGCATCATTCGACTATCCACAGATTCAGGGTAAAGTGGGAAAAATATAAGAAATGGAAGTTGGGTGAATAACCATGTACCCTTACATGTCAATCGAATTATGTATGGCTTTCTAGATTTCGACTGTCGATTCAGTTTATCTAGACTTGAACTGATCTTAAGTATAGTTTTGACTACCCTTTATTTGCTTCTAAATTAATTGTAGGGAGGGAAGGGAGACGTTTGTTTTGGAGCTACAGAATTTGTTCAGATTAATAGGTGTACGGAAGGAAATGGATGTCTCGGGATTGAATAAAATTTCCAAAATAATCGGATGAAGTGCAGCGAGCTACATTCACTATCTTATGGAGTGACTTAACCAAGGCACAACTCGCAAAGAACACATTTCATACAGCATTCCATAACCCAGTGGAACTTCCAAGGAATTTGACTGGGCAGAAGTCGTGATTAATTCAAGTTCTGTATGTACAGCAGTCAAAACCATTATATGACAGTGGAGTCTCTTATCGACTTAAGGCTGAGCAGCCTTCCTAACTAAATGAGGCTACAGGCTTCACGTAGAATTCCGGAAATTTCAACACCTTCTACTTCATGTTGACTGGGTATAATGAACGGGTAAATGAATGGTGATTAGGTATAAGAGAGGATTAAGTCCCCCCAAGGACTGGATGCAACTCTCACGATTATAGCTTAATAAATCTGATTCCCCTACCTTATCGCAAAACGCCCCAAAGAATAGAAGGCCCCATAGTGAACCCTCAAAGAAGTAATTTTGATCTTCAAAATACCCACAATAATTCGCTTCTATACATACAGCGCTAAAGGTATATGTGTGTACGTTTGCTCTATAATGCCGCCGCAGCCCCAACAAACTGCCCGGTGACTTTATGAGAAGCCTTGAGCATAGGCTGATGGGCGAGCTTGGCGAGGTTCCCAATCAGTTGCAGAGCTTCCGAGTTCAGGAGACAGGGAATATCCGGGCTGCATAAGGCTGTAAACTTACGGAGTAATGGCAAGAATAGCGCTCTCAGAAGAAGGATTGTTGTTTGAGGTCCGAGTTTACGAGGGAATGGTTCGCAATCGGCAGCACAAGGTATCTAGATCAGCAGAGACGTCGCCAGGTCTCCTGACCCATTACTGTTACTTTCATTTTGTTGCACCTGTAGTATCCCAACAGTGTCGCAAAGCTGTCTAGAGCTGCCTATACATCCGGGAGTGCGCGCCCCCCAAAGGATGCTAAATGCTATTGCTGCAGTCACTCGCACATGCACCCTCACAGCGGTGAGACACTCCCTTGCGACCGGCAATTGGTGCACCTTGGATTTGCCAGAGTCTGACCGGATTTTGCGTGTTAGCCTGGGCTATTTCGCTTACATTATCTTGGTTGCTTCCTAGCATGCGACCCAAGTCTAAGGTATGAGACCTTCAAGAAGTGGTGGTCGGCGGACGCTGAGGAAGGGTCCGAGCAACACCTGGAGCGATTCAACACCCTGGTCCGCAAGCACGTTGCTCCAAAAATCGCGCTTGGGTAGATCTTCGTAACAGTTTTGCTGCGCTGTTTGTTTCTGATTTTGCTCAAGGGCACTGATGTGGGGCTGGTCTGCCTTGGTTTTCTTGGTGCACGTTGTTGACGTCGCTTGCTCATCTTCTTGCTGCTGCTTGTTGTGCTCCCATTGTTCAGGAATGTGTGCTCGCTTCATCTTAGCTGTGCATTTTTGCGCTTCTTGTCGTTGGGGCTGCTAGCGCTGCTGTGGCAAGTAATACTTGCTGCCTCGTGTTCAAGTAAATTCAGGCTTGCCTGCACGAAGTAAAAAGCAGTTGAGGCGCGCGGATTGGGAATTGCCTTGCCGTTTCGCTATCTTGTGTACATGGCCGTGTTTTGCATTGTGCCATGGTTGTCGGACTTCATGGCGTTGTGGGCTGAAGCGAGAGATCACCGTGCCGTAATCTCCATGTGGAGTCCAAGCCTTACAGAATTTTAGGGTTTAGGGCTTTGGTTTCTTCGTGTATTCTGCAAGTTGAGGGTTCTTGCTAGGGGTTGGAGGGAAGTCAGCTTTTGGGACCTCATTCCAGGCGTGCAAAATATGAATATTGTTTGGTCAGCTTGTGTTTACGTTGAAACCAGAAAGATAGTGGAAAGTCACCAAGTATAGTTCTTTCTTGCCTGGGCTTCAGGATTTAAAAGCCCTCCTGGAATCAAGATCTCTAAGCCCTAAAACCTGAAACCTAAAGCCTAAACCCTAAACCCTTGGGAATCTTGTCTCTTGCTTCTTGGTTCTTGACTGCCCTCAGCCTGTGGGGCTTTTAATTCGAGAATGGAGGAGTAAAGTGGAATGATGTTCTCCACTTGCCATAGTGGCCGCTTCAGGGTTTGCTGGGAAGGGTGGCTTAGGGTCCGGTTTCGAGTGGTAAGGCTTCGGGTTTAGGAAGGGCTGGAATTTCCGAATGATGATTTTGGGCGCGGGGTTTAGGGCTTTGAGGTGGGCTGCAGGTTCAGAAAGAAACGTCTTAGATTTTTGGGTCCGGGGAGTTAGATGATGTTGTAGTTTCCCAAAATAGCGGAGTCCCAATTTTGAATCAAAACTATTATAATCAGTACTATAATTCTTACTTTGGGGATCCCCAAAAAAGTACCCCTAGTCTTAAGGAGCCCCATATAGGGTCTCAAGCCTTGCGGCTACTTGAACGTGTAAATACTGAGGTGAGGGAAACCCTTGTAAAGGTTTGGGGGGGTTTTGTGCATAAACTGACCTAATACCCCAATTCCGCACAACGAAAGCTTTCCTTCGCAAAAGTCTGCCGGGGGCACGAGGAAGCTAGGTAAGGAAAACAAGAATGGAGAGACAAATGGAGACAAAATGAAGAATGAAATGGAGATTGGGCTTACATGGCAGTCCCATAAACAGGGGTACCCCAACATAGACGCCAACATAGTATGATCCGGATTCTGTGGGCCCCAAACAAGGACCCATTAGTTTTTTGAGAAATTTCCATATAGTCATATGGTCGTTTAAAGGCCTCCCGAATTGGCCGACGCATGCTCTTCGAACGGGAAAGTGTCTTCACTAGATATGTATCCATATGGGGTCTCCAAAGCTGGAGGTCAGTTGGTGGTCCCAATCACGAGGCTATGGTATGGCCATTGCTAGAAATTCCCAAATTGTGAAGCACGTCTTTGCCATGCTTTGTTGAAGTCCTCAAACCAGATGTGCCCTGCCCTCCTGCAATTGAGGATGTGGGGTGTAGGGCTTCAGGGTTTAGGGTTTGGCTCTGGAAAAGAAATTTGGGTCAAGGCGGATAGCAAGGACATGAAAGGGGCCTCATCAGAAGTTCCACCCAGAGTACCCTCATTTACGGAAAACCCCATATAACCTCAGTTTCCATTTCATTTTCCATGTTCTTCTGCATTAGATTCTCCGTTATTGTCCTGAGAAGTTCCGAACGCGCCTGAGGTCTGAGACATTACCTTCTGTGGGGCACCGTCGGCACAGCCTTGCCCTTTTCACTGGGAATGTCTGTTTGGTTATGGAAGTTGGGTTCGCGCATCGAGAAGCGCTTGAACTCACGTTGGTGTGCTGTCTTCATTGTTGTGCCGTTCTCGTTATTTGGCGTGAGCGCTTTATGGCTCCCAATCAGCGTTAGCCTAGCAGCAACGCCGGAGGATAATCCGTTGCCAGTGTTCCTTTTCATCGCGGCTATAGCCATCACGGCACTTGTTTGGCGTGGGCCCAAATGTCAGGAGCCCCTACCATCGAAGCAGCCATCACCCCGTGTTTCTCAGGAAAAGGAGGATGATGCAACATTTTCGATCTAGATTTTCTGCCGAACCGCAGCAAACTGCAAATAAGGAAGCAGGTGTCTCAGAGCCTCATGGATTTTAAAGCCTTCCAGGCAAAGCCTCGGAGAGACCGCAGCGCGGCTTTGAGCAATTTGCTAAGCTAGTTAGTCATCGACTTATCTTCCCTCCTCCTGCATTTTCACGCCCGAGCCTCAGCCCTTATGTACGTAGTAGATGTGTTTAGTACTTGGTGCTCTGTGAGGTTTCCCAACTCCAGGCGAGCAATATATACATGCATTGATAGGAGAGAGCTTCAAAGATGAAGATGGCCAAGCCATCTTCAGACCACCAACGCGTCTGCAGATGTCTGTAGTCAGAAAAAAGGCCACTAGTACAAGTGTAGGCCAGAATTGCACAAGAGTTTGCCTTGAAATAGATCTTGCGTGGGTGTTAGCTCCTACCTCAGAGCTTCAGCAGGCACAAGGCTGCCTACAAACGCAAGCATCAACAGAGTTCATGAAGCTGCCTCCACCTGTCAGAACCTGGCTTCATCACAAAGACATACCCAAGGCTTAGCTTTTCCGCACAAGAATTCTTTTTCGGAGCCTAGGAGCAAGCACAGGTTTGATCCTAGATGTTATCCAGCACTTGCTCACGTGCGAGTTTCTTGAAAATGAAAACAGTGTTTGTTTTAAACACAGACCCTACTAAACTGGCGCAAGTAGTAGGACCCTGGTTCTGATCAAATATTTATTACCTGCAGGCAGTGGGCTCGCAGAGGACCTAGCCCGGGTGGTCGGGTGTGACAGTGTAGAGCATGCCTCACTTATAGCCATGTTTGACCAATCATATCTCAGCAAGAACAAAGTACGGCTGGTTAACCTCCTTCGCATGACTGCTTCTGAGGCAGAATCTAGAACCTTCTCTACAAAGGCAGATCCCTGTAAGGCTGCCTACAAGGCCTTGGTAGTCAGGACTACAGGCCAGTGCGATGGAGTCGAATGAGGTCTGCTCGCAGGCGGAGCTGTCGTATGGAATATCCATTCCTCTAGCATCGTCATGAGAGCAATGTAGTAGGAGGGTAAATAGGGGTTTCCAAAAATTGGAGGTCCCATTTTGGGGGACCCCACAATAAGGGTTCTGGTAGTGTTTGGAGTCTATACTAAGCTGCCCCAGTTCAAGGAAACTACCAAATTGCAGCTATACTGAAACTCATGATGAAGTCATTGTTATTCTCTTGGAAACTCTATCATTAGCAGGTGCAAGGATTGATTCTTTTTTTGGTCTGTGCCAGGAATTACGTGCGATGCAACTTAGCCCCGAACAATTCCATGCTACGATGGTACTGGAAGAACAGCACATGTTTGTTTTGTGGCATATTGGAAAGCAAAAAGAGTTCCAACAGCACTTCCACTTGACTCTAAGTTTGAGATTTGGAAGGAACACGCCTCAGACTGAAATCACCACCATGCCACAGGCAAATCTGATGAGAGAAATGGGGTCGCAGCTCTCTAAACAAGAACCATCAAGACGAACGGACGTGTGCCAAGATATCTTGACTGCTCGTATGTCAACGCTTTCGGCATGAGGACATGCAGAAAACTCATCATCATAAATGCTTTGAGATTAGCGCCATTGCAAAGTGTAATTTCACAGTTACTATTACTATGAATACTTCTACTACTAGTACTACCTGTTATTCCATGTCTGATGCTATTGCTAGTATTGCTGCTATGACAATCATTGTTGCCATACTCCTACGTCTACGTGTATCCATCCTGTGCTGCTGCTACTACTGCTACTACTAGACTACTACTACTACTACTACTACTACTACTAGGTAAGGGTCGCGTTTATGACGGTGT